TCTGCGCCGAGCTGATAAGACGAGCGGACGAGACGACGGTGAGTTAAACAAGGTTTATGTACAGCATATATACAGAGGCGTTACAATTTCGGCACTGGGGCCGACAGACTCGAAGAGCCGAGCTCTCCTCTCTAATACATAGGTCAACTTTTCGCCTAAGACCGCCGACTCACACACATGTCGGCTCTCCGACATGGGGACTCCTCTCTCATAGGACCTCCGATCGCGACGCACCGCAGGGCTTCTTTTATAGTCACCGGGTCCAACCAAAAATGTCCAATTAGAAGCGCCGCTGGTCGTCAGGGCAGATTCCTCCAATGGGGTCGCCGCGCAATGCGTCAGACCACCAGACACGAGGACGCAGGCTCGCTGTCACGTGCGCCGCTGACTCAATGCACGTGGGCCAGAGAGGCGCCGCGCGTGTTCACGCCGTTGGGTTGTTCGCGTCAGGCGGACTGCGGGCTGGCCTTGACCCAGATTGCCTTTTTCAGAGGCACGGACGTTTGACGAGGACTCGCTGGCATAACAGTAGGTAGGTAGGTAGGTAGGTAGGTAGGTAGGTAGGTAGGTGTATACGTGACAGTTGAAGGGATCCTGAATGAAAAAATATTCTTTTACAAATGATTTATCGTTGATTTAACCTTTAATCATAATAGATTCATTAGTAGAAGAGAAAAATAAAAGAAGTTTCATTACTAAATTTCGCGCCGATGCGCGGCCACGGCGGCTGTGATTCAATGGGGACGAAATGCAAAAGAACACCCCTGTGCTTAGCTTTAGGTGCGCCTCAAAGAACCCCCAAGGGAGTTCAATTAAGGCTGTGTCCCCCACTGAGCCGTTCCTCATAAACACTTCGGGGTTTCGGAACAGAAATTCCCACCAAAATACTTTCCATCAAACCTGTTTCGAGGTTTGGAAGGTTTCTACCGTATTTACTCGATCGTAACGTCACTGTGATAGTAAAGCAGTGCGCCCAGGAAGAAAAAAATAGTTATTTTGGTATGGGATTGGAGTGCTGAGGGCCGACTTTAGGTAGCAAAAGTCTGAAGAAAATAAATGTGCTGCATTCGAGTAAATAACTTTAACGACGCAATCACCCTACAACACGACCTTGACACCATCACTTCATGGTGCGAGAAATAGCATATGCCCCTAAACCTCGCTAAATGCTAGGTCATGTCTTTCACACGTAAACACAACACCTCACATAAAACCTACTGGATTATTTCGGTTCCCATTGATCACATGCGTACTTACAAGTATCTAGGAGTTCATCTGACATCATCACTATCATGGGTGAAACACATTGAAACCATTCGTTCTGAAGCTTCCCGCACATTAGGCTACTTACGACGTAACCTGCGATCTGCATCTCCTGACATAAAGAAACTCGCATATCTGACATTCGTGCGACCAAAACTCGAGTATGCGTCATCCATCTGGCATCCTTCACAAGCTTATCAGACCGATGATTTGGAAGCCGTTCAAAATCGCGCAGCTCGTTTCATTACGTCACAATATTCAAGGCATATCGGCGTAAGCGCACTAAAACAAACGTCACTCGCATCGCTCGCTTCACGTCGCATAACTTCCCGTATCTGCCTCCTTCACACATTCTTTTACTTTAGCAGGTCGACACTCTTTCCTAAAACGCCCATTAAGAACATCCTCTCGCCTGTCCCATACGCACCCTCTGATGACCATAAAATGCCGGACGATGGTGATGAGCAGCTCATTTTCCCCCCATGCCGTAACACTCTGGAATGCACTGCCAGATAAAATTGTTTCTTGTAGGGACCGCTCAAAATTTCGCGAAAAACTCTTTTCCAAAATCCAAATACGATGTCCTAACAGCACATTAACTATTGCGTTTAAGTTGTTTCACTGTATTCCTAGAATTTATTTATCGCCTATTACATTTTTTATGTTTTGTTATGCGTGTTATTTCCGCTTGTGTTCTTTATTTGCTCATTCATTGTAATCAGTGTGTACCCTCATATTGTTACATTGCTTAGGAACTTACAACCTGGATGTACGACCCCCCCCCCCCCCTATGTAATGCCTTCGGGCCCTTAAGGTTGAATAAATGAAATGAAGTACAGTAGCTTCCAACTTCTCTCAACCTCACTCTCTCTTTTCATGTTCTCTCTCTCACGCGTACACTTAGATTGCGTGTGTAAATAAGGTATAAGGAAAAGAAAAAATCGCAGCATATCCACGGAGTGAATGATGATAAGTGGGGCGAAGCGTCCGTCAGCCCGTCCGTGCTTCCGTTCGTGTGTTCGTTCTTGCTTCCGTCCGCCCGCGCGACCATTCGTGCGTCCATACGTCCGTCCATGCGTCCGTACGTGCGTCCGTCTAGTGAACACTCTAAGTACCGCCATCTCCCATCTCGAATCCCGGTGGCTACGTATGACAACGATGAAGGATGGACAGACCCACGGCCTGAGGAGCTTCGCCCCTAAAAAAATATTGTTGATCATTTGACTATAACAGGTTTGACTCGACATGCAAACATAATTTTATTTATTTATTTTCATGCTCTCAGGGCCCGAGGGCAATTCAGAGAGGAATGGTCTATCCACGGAGCTTAACAACTATACATCAATAACTGCGATTTCGCGAGCCGCATATTATTCGATTGCAGCAAGAGAATTAGGTAGGTTTCAGGTACCTCAGATAAAAATAGTACACTCGGAAAGTGGTTACATCTCAAAATGAGCTACGTGCGTTAAACTGTATGCACTACTATATTGCTGGCGTACTGGAGGAGGCGCTTGGTTTCACCGCCTCGAGGTTCGGGCTTATTACCGGGTGTTCGATTGAAGAAAGAGCGCGAAAAGACTGGGACAAAAGGTGACACGCACACCTCTTGACACCTTTTGTGTCCTCTGCGCTCCTGTCACATGAGCCCTGACTCACGCCTGATTTTATTACTTCTAGTTTTGCATAAATTTAAGCGGGTACCCTAAAAAAAAAAGAAACATACAGGAATGCCCGATTAACACATTCCCTCGTCTTTTGTCTTGTCGCGTTGTTTCTTTGTTCGAATATGCATCAAAACTGACTAGACGTTCAGCATGCATTAGAAAAGTGTATTACTGCGCAGCGCTGGGTTTTTCGTTTGCTCCACGCCATGTTGAAACAAAGAAAGCCTTCAGCAATCGCCGCATCGTTGCTAACACACGCACACGGTTAAGCTCTTTTTATCACACTGCTTTCAAAGAATGGAGAGCCGTTGCATAGATGCCCATATGAGGAAAGCATAATAAAGTTTTTCTGTCTGTCTGTCATACGAGGGAAGCATAGAGCGGGTTGAGTGTACGTCTTGTAAACAAGCTTACTTGCATGATGCGTGCACAAAGCGAAATGTGTGCACTCCCTGTGAAACAAGGGGTCGCGTTCGTGTATGCTCTGTTGAGGCAAAACTATAGGTAAATTGACTATCTATAGCTTCGATAGTCGTTTCGAAGTAGTCTAAAGAAGCAATCGACAGTACTGTTATCGATGAACTGTTGACAGTATTATAAATAGTGCAGTCGATAGTACCATCAATTGGTAGCATTATAACTATACTGCTAATACAATCGAATGTTCTGGGAATAATTATGCTGTTGTTCGTGGTGACATTGCCAGAAGATCTGAGATAGCCTGCTACCTGCATTACTCAGTTCTTTAAATATATGAGTGATTTTTTGGAAAATTAAATATATTTATTTCTGTTGTGTAAATGTCAAAATATGTCCAGCAATGTATTCATATCCAAAGCTAAGCAGTTACATTTTGCAATCAGTGAACTTCGTTCTTGATATTCTTTGTTTCAAAATCGCGAAATGCGATATAAACTTGGAGCCACGTAGTTTACTTACATGTGATGGCTTCTTTTCTACTTAAGGGAACAGTACGAATGGTTGGCTTGAACGGCTTAGTCATCAGTGTCCAGGGATATATATGATATAACCACGCACGAATAAGGATGTTTCGCTGTGTTCCGTGTTCGATTTTGATGATTGATATGTGGGGTTTAACGTCCCAAAACCACTATATGATTATGAGAGACGCCGTAGTGGAGGGCTCCGGAAATTTAGACCACCTGGGGTTCTTTAACGTGCACCCAAATCTGAGCACACGGGCCTACAACATTTCCGCCTCCATCGGAAATGCAGCCGCCGCAGCCGGGATTCGAACCCGCGCCCTGCGGGTCAGCAGCCGAGTACCTTAGCCACTAGACCACCGCGGCGGGGCTCCGTGTTCGATTTTCGCACGATGGTTTCTGCAGCACACCGTGCTTCTTTCTCCTCCGAGCACCCGCGCTGTGCGTTATCCTGGAGGTTTGTTCCACTGCGGTGCCACCGCGTGTGGGGTGAAGCCTACATTTTAACGTTTATTTTGTCATCACAAGCATAGGCTCGTTTTGTTCAAGTAGAATCGCAGGCTCCGATCTTTCTCTGGAGCTTTAGTTAGCCACAAGAATATCGCAATCTGTACTGCAAGTCGAACAACCTGCTTCAGCCGGTGTTCGATGGTTTCGTTGCACACGACGATCACGGCTGGGCCCCGTGATCGATAGTGCGACCGCGAAGGTCTCCGAGGCACTGAAAAGGCCCGTCGTAGTTAGCGATTCCGCCGCGCGAGGGCCGCAGCGCGCTTGCGCCGTCGTTTGCTCGGCGCATCACCTGAGGGGAGGTGACGTCACGGCCGCTCGCCCGCTGCTCTTGTGGCGGCCGTCGTCTGCTTGAGCGGTTGCGCTCGCAGTGCGCGCAGTCCCGTAGCGAGACCTCGTGCCGCTCGCGTCGTCGTCGTCCTGTCCCCCGTGGGTGCTTGGATATTGCACGATTTTTTTTTTTTGTTTCCCTCTTACGTCGTCGTTTGCGTAACTTATACGCCGGAGTCGGCCCCGTGTGTGGATGTGTGCTCTTGTCCATACGTAGTACCTGCGGTGCTGTTTGTTGTGGTGCTTGTTGCCGAGACGTCGTCATGCGTGTGGCGGCGGGCGCGCGAGGGAGCAGATAGGTGCGCTGCCCCCGCGACCGCATGATGCCACTACGTGTCGTTCTTCCACGACGATCCCCTCCTCCCAAGTGCCTCGAGCCTCGACGCTGGCGGTCGGCGCGTCGTGTCCTAACAGAGATTCGCTCGCAGGATTTCAAGCTGGACGGTTGTGCCCTCGCGATCTCCGACTTCAGCGTAGCTCCCGCCGACTGGTTCGCCCTCCGCGGTCTCCTGATGCCGTGTAGCTCTCGCATTGTGGCACCCCGCCCTTGGACTGCTTCGACCGGATCCCCACTTTCCTATCTCCTTCTTTTTCCTCTCGTTGGCTGTCTTCTTCTGCTTCTACTTTCCTTCTATTCTTTTTATCCCTCCTTCCCCCCACCCCTATAAGGCACTGCGCCGTGTCGCCTGAAGGCAGACAGAAATTAGGTGCCTTTTTCCTCTTCATTGTAACCACTACCACCACCACCATTGTGGCACCCCGCCCTTGGACTGCTTCGACCGGATCCCCACTTTCCTATCTCCTTCTTTTTCCTCTCGTTGGCTGTCTTCTTCTGCTTCTACTTTCCTTCTATTCTTTTTATCCCTCCTTCCCCCCACCCCTATAAGGCACTGCGCCGTGTCGCCTGAAGGCAGACAGAAATTAGGTGCCTTTTTCCTCTTCATTCTAATCACTACCACCACCACCACCTAACCGCGACTACCTCGACCGCGGCTACGTAGACAGCGCCGCGGCCCGGCATGTAGGCCTCAAGACGCAGCGGATATTTCGACGCCTCATGTGCGCCGTGGCGCGGGCCAAGTACCGCGGGATGTTCGTGCTCAACTTTGTCTGGTGAGTTTGTTTTCTTTCCTTTTTTTTTTTAAATGCAGCTGCTTTATCTGCACCTAGATGAGGATGGCGCCGATTTCGCGTTACCGCAGCAGCTGAGATCAGCATATGCGAACGTTCTGGCGCTTGACGGAATGATTCAAGCGCCGCGTTCTCGCTGCGCAAGTTACATGCGTGGCCCTCTCCAGCTGCTGCGACGTCGTCGGCAGCTCGCGATATTCGAAATGTCACCCTTAAAGGCGCGAGTCATCGTTGTTTGCAAGTTCCGCCAGTCGTTCTAAAACAGCTGTTTCGACCTTCTCCGTGGCTTTCGCATGTCTTGCTTTCTGTAGCGCTGTTCGCCTCGGCTGTCAACGCGCGCGTGATATCTCAGTGCTGTCAAAATTGCCTTCCACACTACATGTTGACATGCTGTATTTGTCGATCAAAACTGTACGTATACATGTATATGTATGACCGTTAAAACGGGTCCTATATTCTCGCGTTCGTACGTTGCGTGTAGCTGACCCACCGCACTGCTTTCGAGTTTACCCCGTGAACTGCGCGCGGCCATCATCAAGGTGTCGTACGCATTGCGCGTACGCAGTCTTTTAGCAAAGCTCACTTCTGTGACTGCACGGGTTTTTTTAGATAAGAAAACATGGGTAAATTATCCCCGATGCAAGAACGGCCTTGTATGCGTAGCTTTAGTTGCACGCTGAAGGAGCCACTGGTCGGCAGTTCGTTTCGGTGAGCAAGTTTTTTCGTCGCCGTAATCGGCACATGCCTTCTGTTAAAGACGACTCCTCCGTTTACTGTAGTAATGATCAAACTTCGATTGCCTATCGATCGTTTGTTACATACTTGCTGCTTCACACTAAGCTAGGAAGCTAGGAGCAGTAACATTTGCAGACGACGAAGTCACAACCGTAACATGTTTGTTGCGAGCGTCGTCCACTGGCGGAACTTTCTCGAACTTTCCCCTACTCACTTTTTTTCTGCTTTCCACATTGACGTGCCATCAGTAGCGATAACTACGCGGGTCTTTGTGTCATCGATGACATTCAGGATGACCGACTCATAGAGAGTCATTTCGACCTGGTCATCCAGCGCCACTGGCGGATCTCTCGTCGTCTGCTCTATAGTATTGCAAGTACCCGGTTCTTTCGCGTTCGTAGGCTCGCGTCTGAAACGGGAACCATTGAAGGGGGTAAGGCAGGATGTTTCGGGTTTACATCGCTGTACTTACTACGCCGTTGTCATCGAGGACGTGAGAGTGTGTGCATGCGGTGTGTGTCATGATCGAACTGTTTGCAGCGGGCCACTTGGAACATCTGGCGTCGTTGCTAGGAGACACGACCTCGTTTTTCTTCTCCCGCTGCTGCTGTACCCTGTTTTTCTTTCTTTGTTCAGTCGCGACGACTGTGTGTGTGCGGTGTGCCAAGGCGAATCTGCGTACGCGCCAGCAGCTGCGTTATAACTTTCTGCCGCCCCCTTGGATCGTGACGGTGCGGCGGCATTTTTCTTTCTTTCTTGCCGCGCTATACTGTATACGTCCAGAAACAGCCGGACGACGTTTCTTCTCCCCCCTCTCTCATTTTTTGCTTCTTCATTTCGTTGTTACCCAAGTCTTTCGAAACAACGTAACCGGCCGTCTCGAGAGAGTCCTGTTCTGCCGTGTTACGCCGTTTCGATGCCTTTCGTTCCCCAGCGTAATATGTCTGCTATTCGGTCTGTTTTTTTTCTTCATTTTTTTTTCTTTTCTTAGGAACGCGTTGGTTGCGAAGTAGTTGTCGCAGTTCTCGCCTCGACAACTGGATCGTGCTCGCTAGGGGATGATTGACCACCCAGTACCCGTTATGGTGCTCGAATGCATGACGCGGAAGGTCGCGGGATCGAATCCCGGTTGCGTTGGCGGCCTTCGATGGACGGGAATTGCTAGATGCCAATGTAGGTATTAGGTGCACTTAAAAAAAATAAAGAAAAAAGTGGTTGAAATTACTGTAGCCTGCCGTTACGGCGTACCTCGTAATCATATCGTGGTTCTAAAAGGTAAAAACACGACAAATATTTACTATTATTACAGTACAATTAGCAGAGACTTAGGTGCAGTCGCGCTCGGCATAAGTTTCAAAACGTTGGCCGCGCGGTCGATGTGGCGCTAACACTGCACGGTGGCACAGACGTGGAGAACAATTTCGTGGTTTATGCACACTCATGCACTTATATTGGCTTATGCTTTTATATTGCTCATGCTGTGAGTGCACGGCTTATATAAGTGCATAGCTTATAAGTGCATGGCTTATGCACTTATATTGCTCGCATTTGATTACCAATTTGTTTCACCGATCTCAATGTGTAGCTTTGTAGCCCCTTCTGCCACGGCCATGTTGTTACAGCTCATAATGAGTGCGGTTGTAACATAAATGAAGGACAACCAACCGAACAACAGCAAAGATGAAGCACCATTCAAACGAATCTGAGACGATAGGGATAACCAGTTCGGAAAGACACTGATGAGAACAAAGTTAAAAAAAAATCACAGCATATCCACGGAGTGAATGATGGTGAGTGGGGCGAAGCGTCCGTCAGTTCGTCCGTGCTTCGGTCCGTCCGTTCGTTCTTGTTTCCGTCCATTCATTAGTCTGTTCGTCCGTCCACCCGTCTGCCCGTCCGTTCGCGCGTCCGTCCATCTATCCGTCCGTTCGTGCGTTCATCTAGTGAACACTCCAAGTACCGCCATCTCACATCCCCTGTGGCACGTACCCGCTCCAGAGCTGGTACGTGCGGTTGGTGGATACGTACAGAGAGACCCACCCCCTATGGAGCTTCTCCGCTTAAAAAAAAAAAAAAAAACAGCACCGCACAGTCTTACTATAAACCTTCCGTTTCGGTCGTTCGAGTTTGTATTAGATTTACGAGTGTTTCAGGGGGCGAATGATCCGGTCAACCTCGTCAGCATGTGTGCATTCAAGTCATCTGCTTTGTTTGAGGTCTCGTCCTTCCTTCGTGCGATCGTTCCACCTGTAACGGGTGTCCTATGTTCGCACTTTCGCTTATAGCGGTTGTTCCCTATGAAGGACATTGCATGTGTCTTTCGCTCTTTTAAAGGCTTTGTTTTTGAAAAACAATGTTTTCCGGGTTGTCGCTGCCGTACGGGTTGATCAGTGATCACTATATATTTTGTTTGATGTTCAAGGTATGTCACATACTTCGAACAGTGTATAAGTTGGGGGCCTGAGCCCCGTCAGGCAGAGTACACATCTATCTGTCTGTCTGTCTGTCTGTCTGTCTGTCTGTCTGTCTGTCTGTCTGTCTATCTATCTATCTATCTATCTATCTATCTATCTATCTATCTATCTATCTATCTATCTATCTATCTATCTATCTATCTATCTATCTATCTATCTATCTATCTATCTATCTATCTATCTATCTATCTATCTATCTATCTATCTATCTATCTATCTATCTATCTATCTATCTATCTATCTATCTATCTATCTATCATCCGTCTGTCTGTCTGTCTGTCTGCCTGTCTGTCTGTCTGTCTGTCTTAGTTTACTGAGGGAGAGACAGCGAGAGCCACTTGTGACCGGAGTAGGACGTCCTTGGCTCGTTGGTTGTCGGTACTTTCACTTTAAAGTGTGCAGGGGCGTAATGACTCTTTGAGGACACACACGCCTTCCATCCAGCAGCCGGCCACTCTGATTGCAGTCACGTATACGCTATACAGCAAAACGCGCTTCTTCGTTCGGAAGTCGTGCGACATGTCGCCCGAGTGGTCATTCGTTTTCAGTGCGTGGTCGCGTTATTTCGATTGCCCTTATTGCTTCGAGGTCTTTTTTGCGGATTTGAGTCACCTTACGTGATGCCAACTGAGCCTTCACATGAGTCACTTTCAGCGGAACGGACGATCGATAAGTCTGGCTGCCGGGCCGTCTCCTCGGCTGTCGGCCTGCTTTCTTTGCACGCGTTGACAGCATTGCATCACGCAGCTGTTTCTTGTTTTCGTCGTAATCGCCGAACGGTTTTGCCTGCAGCGATTGCTCCCTGGCAATTTCTGATGAGTCTTACATCACCGACTTGGATACTAACTTTTGGAACGCAGCCGTGAATCAGTTACGTTGGACTATCCAAATGTAAGGATTGCCAGCCTCTAAGAGCGTTGCCGTATACTCTGCTTTCGATCTGTCTCGGCCGGGTCGCGGATTCGTTACCGACCGCGGCAGTCTCGTTTGGATGGAGGCGAAATTTTGGAAGCATGTGTACATGCGCGAAGTTGATGCATGCTATAGAATTGGTCTGAATTTCTAGAAGCCCTCCACTTCGTGCCTGGCGATCATATTGTGGTTTTGGTGTGTACAAACCGCAAAAAGTTTTGTTATACTCACTGTCTGGGGTATCGTTGTCGTTTACTTGATTTTGAAAGAAGTGGATGGGTAATGAAACAGGGTGTTTGAAGGGCGAAGTTTCAAGGATAGTTGAAATCCGAGGCGCGACAATGACTACGGTGAGAGGGAAATTACTAGATTGCTAAACCAGCTCGCCTAAGCTGTGCCACGTGTTGCGAAACTTTCTTAAATTATTATCGCGATTGTAATGATGATTTCGTAGGTATTTGCATCTTGTTTTTGTTACGCCTTGAGCATTCGTAAATTACCGCCTGCGGTGGTGTGTCAACCGTATAAGAATGTAGAAAGGGTATTTTCTGAAACTGTATCAGATTTCAGATATGGTGCTTTCCTGAGGACAGAAAACAATGGCGTACCTGTGTAGCGGCTAGGATACTTTGTTATTCTGTTGCCCTTGAAAGAAGCCACGGTTTTAGGTGCGCATAATGTGTTTTACTCGGTGTGAAACGGGAGCGACGCCATTGAAGCCCCTCTAGAGATCTTACTACGAGAATTTGACGGGCTATATATATGTCACAACAAGCGTAGTGTATTGAAACTCCACAAAAGTGGCAGACTTGTTATTTAAGGCTATTAGTGTCTCCGTGAAGTGCCCGAATTTCTCGTACG